TTTATCTCTGAAGCAGACGACTTCTCAAAAATTGTAGACCAGAGTTATCAGGACTCCACGTCACTGTCTATTTACACGGCATGACAAGCCCCATGCAGCAATATGTCGCACATGCTGGGCCTACTACTGCATGGCTCTAATCAGATCCTGAGAGCAGTGTCTGGTGAGCTGGATGCAGCTGCATAGTTTGAGGTTCGGTAGTCTAAGGATTATTAAGTTCAGACACAGTAGCTGGATGTGGCAGGGCCCAGAAGCAGCCTCAGCTGTAGTCCATTGTCAAGCCTCTCTGTGCAAGCTGGTGTTTGCCCCATCATCTCAGCTATTATGTTTCCCAAGGGATTAGCCAACAGCTTAGCGGCATCTGCCTGTAGTTTATGTTTAGGAGAGACAAATGCCTCTCTTCTGTGGCAAGGATCCATGGCTGGGAGAGGAGCTGGGGTTGCTGGATGCTGTCAGGGGTGGCCTGAGGGAGGAGTGCGACATCCAGGATGATCCTGCGCCCCTAGATCTGGACAGCTGGCAACGTGTACTGAGCTGTCTCACAGATTTCCCAGGACAACTACTTAAAAAAAGAGACAATCATGGGAAAACCTGGACTGTGACTCTGCACAGTGCTGCATTGTTGGCCAGGATGCTTCTGGCACTGCACAGGGGGAATCCTCTGTGTAGACAGTGTATTGGCTCAGATAGATCTAGTGCTTTCCTATGGGTCAATGCCCAGTTGTATGCAGGAACTGACTTGCCAAGTGCCCCACAATAGGGAATCTCTCCTGTATTCTTCCTAGCTCCAGCCATGGTGCAGACAGGGGGAACAGCTCAGCCATGTGGGGAAGGGGTGGGTCAGCAAAGTTCCCTGCACTCCAGTACCTCAGCGCATGGGCCATGATAAGAGGCTTCCATGGGCAGGTGCACAGAAGAAACCTCTGCTCTTGTTAGGACTCTCTTTTTGCCAGTAGAAGCAACAGCAGCTGTGGTGTCTGCACAGGGCCCTGCTTCATGCATGCAAACCCACCCTGGCAGCCAAAGAACCATCCCTGATTCCCCTTTATAGTGAGATATTTGTGGTAGATGTCACATGAACTAACCCCTTCCCCCACTTCCAGCCTAGCTAGGAGCATGGCACTGTGGCTCCACCTTCTGTCTACTGACAAGGTAGTTGAGATAATATCCTTTATTGGACCAACTTCTGTTGGTGGCAGATGCACTTTTGAGCTTCACAGATTTCTTCTTTAGATCTGGGGAAGGAAACCAGTGTCCTGTATAGCTTGAAAGCTTGTACCTTCCACCACCAGCAGTTGGTCCAATAAAAGACGTCACCTCATCCACCCAGTCCCTCTCATATCCTTGGACCAGCCACAGCTGCAACACCACATTTTAAAAGGTTTTAAATTTTGATATGCTTTTTTTCCTCAGGCATCCTGCACTTGTAAGGTAGTTTTATTTTAATAATAAATGCTGTTTTGTGCATTTTAATTTAATTTGAATTTTCATTCAAATAAAGCTTGACACAAAGCACAAGTAAAAAAAAATCATCCAGTAAATAAGAAATGTACTGTTCACCATTTTCTAAAATAATACATTTAAAAAGTAAGAATCTGAATGTATGTTAAATTATAAACTTGCATAAATAAATGGTTATAGATATAGCGTGTCTTCCTGCTTAGCAAAAAGAAGCACCAAATTTAGTGGCGAGGCTGTATTTAGTTGAAAGTCAACCTACTTTAATGGTTACCAACTAATGAGAATCAATGTTTCCTTAGGAAAGTAACTAAAAATACAAATAAAAACATGATTACAATAGATTTAAATCAAGGTTTCCTGCCTGCTGATTTAAATCACTTTGGTTGAAATCAGTCCACTCTGGTGCCACATGGAGATGTGGGACATGGCCATAGTTTGGCAAGGGGCGAAATGTAGCTGTCACGTGTTATCACACAAAGCCTGACAAAACATAGGGCCAGCTCTGCAAGGAGGTCCCTTCAAGTCACAGGGTTGGGGCACACTGGTATGGGATATCCCTGTGCTGCTCTTTGGATGCAGAGAGGAGAGTCTCCAGGGCTATACTGCTGGCACCTTTCACCAACATTACATTCCTCGAATGTCACCTCCTCTCCCTCCATGAAAGGCTGCTGTCCTTGTTGTGCCATTTCACACCCTGCAGCGCTGTCTAGGTGCAGAGTGGAGCAGCCTTTGCTCTCTCTTATGGTGATGGAACTGTTACTCTGACATGCATGTCCAGGGTCCCTGTGAGGAATGCTGGTTGAGTTCCTGCAGATGTCTCTAGCTGCCCAGCCCATTGCCTGTGCCTGCAAGAGGCAGAATGTCACTATGTTGCAAGGCTGGAATAGCCTTAAAGTAGCATAAGCTGAAACATTTGGGTTTTGGAAAAGAGATTTTACAAAATCCCACATTGGGAAATGTCATGGATGTGGCAATGTGTTGTCATAGTTTTTTCTCGCTCTTTTTCAAGATTTCCTGCAGTGCTTGCTCTCCAAATACAACTGCATAGTGCTTAGGGATTTGAACCAAAGGGAAACTGACTAGAATTAAAAGCGAACCTGATTTATCTATTTGCTGTTGTGTAAGGTGATTGCATTTTTAACAGGTGATTCAAAGGCCTGAGCAGTAAAAAGTACATGAGATTTGTAAAATCACTGTTTTGGTCACCAAAGGTGTTGTTAGTAGCACAGGTGAATACAGATATACTGTATTCATAACAGGTGGCTTTTAACCAGAGTGTGTTGTTTTTAAACAAGTTCCTTTTCTGCCAGGGGCAGTTGACAGTAAATCCAATTATTTAGTCTCTTATACAAAGAAAAACAAATGACAGTTGTGTCCTCGGCAGGAACTCAGCCTTTTGACAGTGACCAAACTGCAACCTGATGTAGCCCAACCTTTTGGGGGCACAGCTGTGCTCCAACCACTAGGGAACTCCTCTCTTCAACCCTTATTTCTGCAGGCTCCTGTGATCTATGGTAGACATGAGTTTTCCTTCTGCCCCTCCTCCTCAACCTTCTCATCTCCTTCCCGTCATCACTGGATGGGATGGTTCCTGCTGGCTAGGGTTGTTTGGATGACTATCCTGCTACTTCTCACCACTATGCTGCAGCAGGGAGACCCACGCAGCAAACAAACTGTCAGCAGGCAATGAGAACAGGAGGGACAAGAATGGCTCCAACCTATCAGAATCCCTAGGGAAGAACAAGAAAATAGTAGGACCAAGGACAGAAATTTGGATGAGATCCTGCTAAACTAGAACTGCTGGCAAATATGTTTCCTCGGAGGAAGTAAACTCAAATGCCTGTCATTTCTTTCATCCTTTCTCTCCAACTTCTGGGCTAGGGGAAAGCCCTGCCCCAACGCATTTCTGTCCCCTCCATCTAGGGTGACCAGACAGCAAATGTGAAAAATCGGGACGGGGGTGGGGGGTAATAGGAACCTATATAAGAAAAAGATCCAAAAATCGGGACTGTCCCTGTAAAATCAGGACATCTGGTCACCCTACCTCCATCAGAGTGGGAAATCCAGTCAGAGAACAGGCACTGAGGCCTGGATGAAAGGGCAGCTTGGTTTTTAAACTGATGGATATACAGTGACCAGACAGCAAGTGTGAAAAGTCGGGACGGGGGTGAGGGGTAATAGGAACCAAAAATCTGGACTGTCCCAATAAAATCGGGACATCTGGTCACCTTAGATGGATATAGAGAGAGCACAATTGTTTCCATTGCCTCCCAGTACTCACCGGTATGTCCAACAACAATGGAAAAGTTGGTCCAATAAAAGAGATTCTCACCCAACCTCCAACAATGGAAAAGCATACTGAATGGATGTCCCTGCGCCCCCAGTGATCACTAACAAAACAGAAAATAAGGTTGCTGCTGGGTACAGGGTCATTGTTAGGTTTCAGAGTGAATGTCACACTGAGATGAACCAGTAAGGGCCACAGCTGGCACTGAAGCAGAAAACACCCAGGCATTTTGCAGGGGAAGGAGAAGCCAGGTGGCACGCCAGCCATTTCTTACAGCTGGGCACCTCCCCCGCCCCGGCAGAGCAGGTTAAACCCCAAGTAACTAGAGGGCAACAATGGCTATTATGCGCGCAGAGCTTGGTTCCCGGCCCCGGGGCAGCTCCGCTTCCCGCATGTGCCAGCTCCCAGTGCCGGACTGGTTCTGGGTCCCAGAGATCCCGGCTGCAGTAGGTCTTTGGGGAACTTCCCCCGCTGAACAGGCCCCCATCAACCGCCTAGCGTCCGGCGGACTGAGCGCCCCTGCCGCATGGGCGCTGCGAAAACAGCTGGGGCGCGAAGGGGCCGAGCTCGCTGTGGCAGGGCAGGCACCGCGCGCGAGAGGGCCCGGGCGCCCTGCGGAGATCGCACGGGGGGGCACGTGAGGAGGAGAACACGGCCGGATCTAGGGCTAAGGCAAGGGAGTGAGCATCGCGGTGGGCGGGACTCGCAGAGTTGGGGAGGGGCCCATGCGGGTGTCAGCAGCAGCCATCCTTGGACTCAGCGTGGGGGTGGGGAAGGAAAGCAGACGGAATTGCGAACTGAGTGATTGACACCGCATTCATCCAGTTATATCTCCTCTACAGGGTAGGCTGGGGCAGGTGGCTGGGAAAGGAGGGCACGGTACTTATCATTGACAGTCATGGCTATCTTCCAATCATAGTAGGGGGCGGAGCCTGGTCTAACTGAGTGAGACCTTCAGAAGGAGTCAAAGGGGAGTGTGTGACGGATTGGGAGACAAGCCAATCATTCGGCGCCAAGAGCTGTGAGGTATGACTGATGCACTATCTGAGCAATCGGAGTCCGGAAATCTCGAATTAAAGTTGACCGACGGATATTTTATCCAATCAGTCTCCAGCTGTCCCGGGAGGGGCTTGACTGACATGCCGGATGCCCAGTCAGATTTCCGCAAATTCAGGAAGAGACCGAAAGAGAACGGGGCGGGGCAGCGAGTACAAACCGCCTCGGCGTGTGCTCTCAAGGCAGCATGATGGGAGCGCGTGACGAGAAGATGAGTGGCGGGGGTTTTGTCCAATGGAGCTGAGGCTCAGACCGAACATGGCCAATGAGAGTGGCAACAGCGGGTGGGTAGGCGGTGCAGCGCTTCTAGTCCGGTTTGGTTGTGAGAAGTTAGTGGCGCTGCTGCTGGTGCTGTGAGGGGACGGAGACGGCTGGGCTGTGAGAGCAGCGGCGGCCCCGGATCAGCGCGATGCTCACAGACGGCACCGCCGCCCCTGTCGGCGACGAGGAGATAGACTCGGTCACTCCCCGTGCTCCCCCCACTGCCGAGGCCCCCGCCGCGGCCGGGCCCGCCCCGTTGGGGCTGAGGGCCGTGCGCCTCTTCGGGGAGGCTGGGCCCGGCGGGCCAGGAGGCCCCGGAGCGCCCGACGCTGGAGAGGCCGCCCTCGACTTCAAGCTGGCGGCCGCCGTGCTGAGGAGTGGGGGCGGCGGCGGCGGTTCCGGCAGCGATGAGGACGAGGTGTCCGAGGTGAGAGACCGATGGCCGAGCCCGGTTTCTCTGCGCTCAGCCGCTTCCTGACCGGCCTAGGCCGGCTCGCAGCGGCGACCTGGGGCCTGACCTTCTGTGCTCAGTAAAACGGGGCCCAGAACCCAACAGCGAGCCCTGGGGTCCCAGTGTTCAGCCTCCTGTGCACCCAGGAGCGGGGGCCTCCCAGCATCCAACCGCTCGTCTCGCTATCTGCCTCGAATCGTCGTGAGCGGGGTACTGTCCCAGTACCAGCCCTGTGCCCGCGGAGTGGGGGCGGGGCCCCGCACCCAAACGCCTCCATTGTGCCCCTAGTCTGTGGGGCTCAGCACCCCCACATTCTCCTCGTCATAGCCAGTCTGGGAGGAGGGTCTCAGCCGCTCAGCCCCTCCCCCCCCTGGCTGGGAGGGGGTGATTTTAGCACCATATCTGCACCCAGTCTCGGGGAGATGGGGTCCCAGCACCCAGTTTTGTTTCATCAGATTGATGGTCTGGGTGGGGGAGGGGTTTAGTATTCAGCCTTTCTCTCATATAGTGTAGGAGGGTGGTGGCTTCCAGTACCTGGCCACACTGAACCTATTCTGTGCTCGGTCTTAAGGAGTGTCTGAGGTTCCCAGCACTCACTTATTGCTACCCCAGACTTAGGAGGAGGAGGTATAGGGGTTCCAAGCACTTAGTCTTGTGATGAGAGGAGGGGTTTCTCTCCCTAGAGAAGAATGGAAGGAATCCCACTCTCTAATCTTCCAAACACGTGTATAACCTGAAGGGGTGTGTGTGGTGGGGGGGTGTATACCCATCAACGTCCTATATGGGGTCTGTGGGGGTTCTAAACACTCAGTGAAGGCTGCTCCATCTGGTCTAGGGAGGGAAAACAAGTCTAAGTTTTCATCCACCATCACCACCCACTGGTGCTATGGTGAGGGAATTACTTCAGTTTCCCATGTCATCTAATTGAAGGGGAGAGTTTTGAGGTTCTACCCACTACTACTGTCTCCATCTAAGCAGATGGTTCCTAGTGTCCAAAGCTCATGTGTTGCAGCTCCCCAACCTCTGCACAGCTTTGCAAGAGGGAAAAGGTACAATTAACATAATGCTAACCCCCCCGCCCCACCACACACACACACACCAGGATTGGATGCCTGGAGTGGATTGATGCTTGAATTTCTCTACAATTTCACCTGAAGGGATGGAAGGAGGGGCCCAGCACTTATCCTGGTGTCTAGGCACTCCATTGTGCAGCTGTCCACTCACCCCCAGACCTGGTGAATTCTGAACTGTTAGGCCTTGTCTGACTAAGAAAGTTGTACTAATTTAATAAAAATACATATTTTTAGTCCAATTGATTTAGGTAAACTTGTGTAAAGTGTGCAGGCACACTTCTTACAGCTTTCTAAATTAAGCTGAATTGATATGTCAGTTTAAGTGTCCACACCAGGACTAAGCTGTTTTTAAATTCTAAATTAAACTGGTGGAACTTCTGTGTGTCAGCATGGCCTCTATTTGAGGTTACAGCCCATAAATATCCATGTTCTTGTAAATATTCAAACTGAAATATATTCCAATGGGGTTTGGGGTTATTTGTAAAATATTTGAATCCCCTCCACGCGCTAGCTAAGGAAAAAAAAATTGCTTCTCTTTTGGTATCTAACATGTATCAAGCCGTCTATCTCTGTTCCTTCACATGTTAGTGTATATCTGTTTTACAGCAGTGTTTACAAAACACAGGTCTAAGTGAGAACCACTCTGAGAATCTGTCAGCTAAATATGAAATCAAGAAAGATCTAAAACATACCTACAGAGATTCTGAAATAGTATCTTTATTCTGATATTGATGCCATCATACTGGTAAAGATTCTGCTTTGGAAATTTATCCTTTTTGGTATCAAGTATCAGAGGGGTAACTGTGTTAGTCTGCATCTGTAAAAAGCAACAAAGAGTCCTGTGGCACCTTATAGTCTAACAGGTGTTAGTCTATAAGGTGTCACAGGACTCTTTGTTGCTTTATCCTTTTTGGGTAAGTCTATGATGCAGATTAAGGGATGACTGTAGCATGGGTAGGCATACCTGCACCAACTTTACTCTAGTGTGGGTAACAATAATATGAAGATGCAGTGGTAGGGTTTTCAGTGTGGGCCAGCAACCAGCGTACATGATTAGGGTCATTGGCAGGTTTGTACTGGGATGGGTAACCCATGCTGAAGTCCATGTCGCTATGTATTCACTAATGTTATCCCCACTAGCTAGATTAAAGCTAGCATGGGTAGGCATACCCATGCTACAATCATACCTTAATTTGCGATGTACCTTTAGTTACCTACTTCTCTGTCTCAAGAGATGTGGATGTCTAATTAGTGTCTGTGAAGCACCCTTGTTGAGATCCTCTGGTGAATGAGGCTATATAATGGCAAAGTAGTACTTTAGTAAAAGGTGTCACAGGACCCTCTGTTGCTTTTTACAGATTCAGACTAACACGGCTACCCCTCTGATTCTAGTCTGTAGATTCATTATAAACCATTGAGGGCAAAAAAGATTAGGGACTTTGTACAAAGACTTGCTCAAGGCTGGAGTATAGGAAATAAGATCTTTCTCCAAGAACAACTTTCTTGTTTAAAACTTTTTAAAAGGTGCTGCCAAATAAATATTCAGAGGCTTCCAAAATACATGCGTAGATAAGTTGTCTTGGTGTTTCTCCCTGAGTTTGATCCTGAATGTGCTCATTACCTGTACTCAGTATTGGGCAGAGGTGACTGTATGAGGAAACATGACAGAGAAGGATGAGTCTTGACTGATTCCCTGCTAGGTTGTTATGGAACAAGATTGACACAATTCAAGAGGAGCTGTCTTTTAGCCTTGTTCTCTGTGGGAGAATATTAGAGGCACCTGCTGCTGTTGTCCTCTGTCCCAAAGAAGCAACTGTAAGCTCTTGGGATGGAAAACTGCAGCTCTTGAATTAGACAGCTTTGAAAACTTAGCAAGTCTCTGAACTGTGGTCTCAAGTCATGAGTCGCTGACTTGGGTGTAGGCTTTGAGGTACTACCAATGCTTGGAATTAAGGAGCACTTGAAGGGAGATTTAAAAATAAATACACCTCTACCCCGATATAATGCAACCTGATATAACACGAATTTGGATATAATGCGGTAAAGCTGCACTCGGGGGGGGGCTGCGCGCTCCGGCGGATCAAAGCAAATTCGATATAACGTGGTTTCACCTATAAGGCGGTAAGATTTTTTGGCTCCCGAGGACAGCGTTATATCGGGGTAGAGGTGTAATATGCTTCTGTTTATCCAAATGGCTTGGATGACATCCAAAACTTTTGGATAAATGGAAGTGTTCTGTAAGTGACATAGGGTTATGTGGAGGGGAGGGGACACTGGCTTCGGGTAACTAGGATTTTCAGATAGCTGGAATTATACTATACATAAAATGAAGGTTTGCAATTTTCCCTTAATCTGGGCTTTTTCTGCAGTTGGCTTCTATAGTTCTAAAAAAGAAACCATGCTGAAATGACATCAGTAACAAGTGTATGTGCATGTGCAGTATTCTTAATATATTGCATTGATGTGATTTTTAATAATGTAAAATAACTGGACTAGGATTAGTCAATGGCAGATGGAGAAAATAACCAAATAAAATCATCATGGAGGTGCAGAAAATAAAATACAACAGAAGTGTAAAACAAATGCAGGATTCAAAAATGAATAAAATTTCACAGAGGCAAGATAAATAATACTTATAGCATTTCTTATGAGATTTGAAAGTGCTTTAAAAGGGAAATATTATCCCCACATTGCAAATGAGGAAACTGAGGCACAGAGGGGCAGTGATTTGCCCACAGTCACACAGCCAGTCAGTGGCAGAGCTGGGAATAGAACCCAGACCTCCTGACTCCCAGTCCATTTCCCTATTTCCTGCATTATTCTGCATCCTATGAGACACTTAATGGGAAAAAAACAGCTGGGGTGGGGATCAGGAAGTCTCTAAAGTAGAAACAGTACCATATATACTCGTTCATTAGTCTGTTTGTTTATAAGCCGACCCCCCAAAATGGTTAGGTAAAAATAGCAAAAACTGCATGACCCTTTCATAATCCAACCCTATATTTCAGGGGTTGGCAAACTTTGGCTCCTGGCCCATTAGGGTAAGCTCTAGTGGGCCTGGATGTTTTGTTTACCTGAAACGTTCACAGGCACGGAGCCCTTCAGCTCCCTGTGGCCGCGGTTTGCTGTTCCCAGCCAATGGGAGCTGCGGGAAGTGGCGCGCCAATTCCCGCAGCTCCTAGTGGCTGGGAACGGCGAACCGCAGCCACAGGGAGCTGAGGGCTCCATGCCTGCAGACGCTCCAGGTAAACAAAATGACAATGTATTAGATATTCAATTCAGTGATTTCATAGAGTTTAAAATCATCAAATTTTGGTGTAGACGTGTTTATAAGCCGACGCCTGCTCTTTCATGTGTCTTTTTTTACCAAAAATATGCAGCTTATGAACGAGTATATACGGTAAGTGGATATAATTTTTGAGCAATATCTTTGTCTCAGTTGTTCTAAAGGATTATTCTGAGGATGGAGGCAGAGGAGATGGGCATCAGAAATTGAAAAAACTGAGGAAGGAGAATAATGAGAATGAATTAGCTTTGAGTCAGCACAGGCCAAGAAACTGTACATATGGGGAAAGATTAGGAAACCTTGGGTATGTCTCCACTGCAGTTAGACACTCATGGCTGGTCCATGCCAGCTGACATGCCCCTTATGAACACATTTGTCTGTTTGAGTTCAAAGGGAAAATACTTCTGAAACTAGTGGTGCAGATGAACTATGGAGAGGCTAATAAGGTGAGAGAGAGGAGATTCAGGAACCTGACACCTGTGATCACCAGTAAAAATACATCAAATGCAAATTGGTCAACAATTACAGATGACTCAAGCATGATCCATGGGAATCATATGAAGTAGACAATATTTTGTCTACTATTTCTTAAAAAATTAAGAGGGACTCAGTAATTC